CTCTTCCGAAAACCAGAATAAACACCTCCAAAACTGTAGTGCTAATTCACTGAAATGAGAAACCAACGAACGGTTGGTTCTCTGTGTTACCTGTCCAGAGTCCAGGCAGAAATGACGGCTCCCTGCGCTGTGCTCCACTCTATTCACGCCCGCAGCATAACACGGAGCACACTCTTGGAATTATTTGCACTGTGCTTCCTTGCCTCCACCTCCCCAAGACCATAACTCCTCAAAAGTACCTCTAATTCTCAGTTCTACTTCCGGGAATGCTTATTAAAATTAATTAAAATTCCTCCCTCCTTTGAATGCCTATATTCACTCATTCAACAAATATTTATTAAGCATCTACTATCAATACATTCTACGGCCTTTTCTAGGTGACTGAGACACAAGAGCGAACCAGACAGGCACAGTCCCTTCCTGGAGATTACATTCTAGTGGAGGAAACAAAGAACACGTAAAAAGACAAAGGAATAAAATAATTGCAAATCGTGACAAGTGCTCTATCAGAAACGAAGGACTGAGACAGAATGGCAAGAGGAGGAATCCTTTGGGGGCTGTACAAAGAACCCTCATTGCTTAGAGGAGATATTTGAGCAGACTTGACGTTTTGAAGAAGTAAACCAAGCCAATATCTGGGAGAAAAGCATTCCAAGAAGAAAAACAGCATGACCTTGAGCTTGGGACAGGCTTGATGAGTTTGAGAAACAGCAAGAAGTCGCTGTGGCTGCAAGAGAGGGAACAAAGAAGAAACACTAGAAGATAAGGCCAGTGGCAGACAGGTGCCAGACCGTGTAAAACTTCAAGACTGTGTAAGAGCAGGCCATGTATTGCTCTAACGGCAATGAGATGCCACCACAAGGTTTTAGGTCCCGGGCAGACGTGCTCCTAATTTCAGTATCACTTTTGCTACTGTGAAAATGAAGTGGTCCAGGACCGACGCGCGGGGACCCTCCTGCACTCACCAGGTCCGGCCGGTAGTACCGGTGCACCACCTCCGCGCCGGCGCACATGGCCAGGAGGCTGGCGGCGAGCATTTTCAGGTAGGACGCCCAGGACACGCCCGCGGGCATGGTCGGCGGGCTTAAGGGGGAGGGAAAGCGTGCGATGTTAGAACGTTCCCAGGTCCCCCCTAAGCCGTGGGGGTAAACGAGCCCCACTGCAGCGCAGGGGCGGAGTCAGAACACTTGGGTCCTCAACCATGAAACGAGGCCGCTGAGCGCACGAACGCCCCCTGGATGCGGAAGACTAGAAGGCCGCGGATTCTTGGTTGGGGGTCCGGGATTTCGGAGTTCAAACGAGCGGAAGGTCGCACCCGAAGGTTTCCCGCGGGGCTCACCAACCCCTGGGAGAAGAGGCACTACAGACCGCACTACACAGCCTAGGGGTGCGCCCGGGGGAGACTGTACCTCGAGCTGCACTGGCACTCGGAAACGGGTCAGGGGACGGTTGAAGAGCGCCCCGGAAACTGAGCGGGCGGCCGCGGATCGGACCGAAAGTGCAGGGGATGAGGCCCGCGCCGGACCGGAAAGTCGTTTCACTGCCGGCGTGGGCACGTGACCTGGACGGAAGTGGGATTTTCGGCCAGAGCAAGTGTCCTGTCTTTTTTTTCTTTTTAAACCGATACGCAGATCTTTCCCGGCCCCAGGCTCTCGGCGCCCTCATCATTCTCTCTATAGTTGAATTTTCCTGGCAGATGTCGAGTCTTGACCTCGGCTCTGGCTGGATTCTTGAATCATTTGTGCTTTCGCACCCACAAAGGAGGTTGCTCACGTTTACCACCTTTTAGGAGCGGGTGGAGATTCGCACACTGAGCCACGCGTGCTTAGGTGAGGTCACTCTGGAGTGAGTGAAGTTAAAAGCATTCTCTGTAGTTGTGCCCTGCACGTTCTTTGATACCTGAAAAAGAGCCACGCCCAGACAGCTATGACCTTGTGTTATGGTGCCACTGGAAAATGGAAGAAAGAAATCGAAATTATTTAATCCATGCGTTTTTAAGATTGTGCTTTGCAGACAAAGACAAATTTATGGTTACCAAAGGGGAAAGAGGCGGGAGGGAGGGATAGATTGGGAGTTTGGGATTAAAAGATACACACTACTATATAAAAAATAAACAACAAGGACCTATTGTATAGCACAGGGAACTATATTCAATATCTTTGTAATAACCTATAATGGAAAAGATACTAAAACAGAATATATTCTTATATATATTTATATGTATGTATATATCTGAATCACTTTGCTGTACACCTGAAACTAACACAACGTTGTAAATCAACTATACTTCAATTAAAAAAAAAAAGATTGTACTTTGATTATGAATTACTTTTTGTTAAGCAAAAGGTTAATGCAAGACAATTCTGAAAAATCAATCTTGTGTACATAACATGTATCATGATACATTCACATTTTTAAAACCACTTTATGGCTGTACGTTTGACGTTCAGTAAACTGCACGTATTTAAAGCATACAATTTGATGAGGTTTGACATATTTGTACACCTGTGATGAAAACATCTACCACCTCTAAAAGTTTCTTTGCTCCTCTTTCTAATTTCTCCCACCCAGCCTCATTTCCTAGGCAACCTGACCTTGCTTTCTGTCACTATAGGTTAGTTTCCATTTCCAGAATGTTAAAGAAATGGAATCGTACAGTATGTACTATTTGGGGTCTGGCTTATTTCATGCAGCACAATTATTCTGAGATTCATCCACATTGTTGCATGTTATCAGTAGTTCGCTCCTTTCTATTGCTGAGTATAGTTATACCACAACTGGCTTATCCATCGCCTTTGGTTGACATTTAAGTTGTTTCCAGTTTGGGGCTAATACGAATAAAACTGCTATGAACAGTGAAGAGTGCCAGAAAGACGCATATACAGGTCTATGAATATATGCTTCCATTTCTATTGTGTACATTCCTAGGAGTAGAATGGCTGCAGTTATGGTAGGTATATATCTAACTTTTAAAGAAATTACCAAACTGTTTTCCAAAGTACTTGTACAGTTGTAGGTTCCCACCAACAGTATGTGGGAGTCCTAGTTTCTCCACATCCTCTCCAACACTTTAATCAGTCTTTTTAATTTTAGCCATTCTAATAGGTGGGTAATGGTATCTCATGACTAATCATGTTGAGAATCATGTGTTTATATTTTCTTTGAGGGAAGTATCAGTTCAAGCCCTCTGAACATTTTTTAATTGGGTTTTTTTAATTATGAGTATTGAATCTTCTTTATATATTATAGATACAAGTCCATTATCAGATAGATTTGATCTACAAATATTTTCTCCCAGTCTATATCTTGTCTTTTCGTTTTCTAAATCTTTTGAAGAGCAGAAGTTTTTAATTTTAATGAAGTCCATTTTCATTTTTCTCTTTAATAGGTCATGCTTTGGTGTTATATCTAAGAAATCTAACCCAGGGTCACAGATTTTCTCTTGTATTTTCTCCCAGAAGTTTTAGAGATTTAGGTTTTACAGTTAAGTCTGTGATCCCTTTTTTAAATTAATTTTTATTGTAGTATATTTGCTTTAAAATGTTGTTTTAGTTTCTGGTGTACAGCAAAGTGAATCAGCTACATGTATACATATATCCCCTCTTTTTTGGATTTCCTTCCCGTTTAGGTCACCACAGAGCACTGAGTAGAGTTCCTGTGCTATACAGGAGGTTCTCGTTAGTTATCTGTTTTATACATAGTAGTGTATATATGTCAATCCCAATCTCCTAATTCATCCCAGACCCTCTTCCTCCCCTGGTATCCATATGTCCATTCTCTACATCTGTATTTCTATTTCTGCTTTGCAAATAAGTTCATCTTTATCATTTTCTAGATTCCACATATAAGTGATGTCATACAATATTTGTTTTTCTCTTGCTGACTTACTTCATTCTGTATGACAATCTCTAGGTCCATGTCTCTGCAAATTACAAAGTTTCATTCCGTTTTATGGCTGAGTAATATTCCACTGTATATATGTACCACATTTTCTTTATCCATTCTTCTGTTGATGGACATTTACGTTGCTTCCATGTCCTGGCTATTGTAAATAGTGCTACAATGAACACTGGAGTGCACATATGTATTTTTTTTGAATTTTTGAATTTTATTTTTTTATACAGCAGGTTCTTATTAGTCATCAATTTTATACACATCAGTGTATACATGTTAATCCCAACTGCCCAATTCATCACACCCTCCACCCCCACCTCCCCGCCGCTTTCCCCCCGTGGTGTCCATACGTTTGTTCTCTACATCTGTGTCTCAATTTCTGCCCTGCAAACTAGTTCATCTGTACCATTTTTCTAGGTTCCACATATATGCATTAATATACGATACTTGTTTTTCCGTTTCTGACTTACTTCACTCTGTATGACAGTCTCTAGATCCATCCACGTCTCAACAAATGACCTAATTTCGTTCCTTTTTATGGCTGAGTAATATTCCATTGTGTATATGTACCACCTCTTCTTCATTCATTCTTCTGTCGATGGGCATGTAGGTTGCTTCCATGACCTGGCTATTATAAATAGTGCTGCAATGAACATTGGGGTGCATGTGTCTTTTTGAATTATGGTTTTCTCTGGGTATATGCCCAGTAGTGGGATTGCTGGATCATATGGTAATTCTATTTTTAGTTTTATAAGGAACCTCCATACTGTTCTTCATAGTGGCTGTATCAGGTTACATTCCCACCAACAGTGCAGGAGGGTTCCCTTTTCTCCACACCCTCTCCAGCATTTGTTATTTCTAGATTTTCTGATGATGCCCATTCTTACTGGTGTGAGGTGATACCTCACCGTACTTTTGATTTGCATTTCTCTAATAATTAGTGATGTTGAGCAGCTTTTCACATGCTTCTTGGCCATCTGTATGTCTTTTTTGGAGAAATGGCTATTTAGGTCTTCTGCTAATTTTTGGATTGGGTTGTTTCTTTTTTTAATATTGAGCTGCATGAGCTGTTTATATATTTTGGAGATTAATCATTTATCCGTTGATTCATTTGCAAATATTTTTTCCCACTCTGAGGGTTGTCTTTTCATCTTGTTTGTAGATTTCTTTGCTTTGCAAAAGCTTTTAAGTTTCATTAGGTCCCATTTGTTTATTTTTGTTTTTATTTCCATTACTCTAGGAGGTGGATCAAAAAAGATCTTGCTGTGATTTATGTCAGAGAGTGTTCTTCCTATGTTTTCCTCTCTGAGTTTTATAGTGTCCAGTCTTACATTTAGGTCTCTAATCCATTTTGAGTTTCTTTTTGTGTATGGCGTTAGGGAGTGTTCTAATTTCATTCTTGTACATGTAGCTGTCCAGTTTTCCCAGCATCACTTATTGAATACACTGTCTTTTCTCCATTGTATATCCTTGCCTCCTTTGCCATAGATTAGTTGACCATAGGTGTGTGGGTTTACCTCTGGGCTTTCTATTCTGTCCCATTGATCTATGTTTCTGTTTTTCTGCCAGTACCATATTGTCTTGATTACTGTAGTTTTATAGTATAGTCTGAAGTCAGGGAGTCTGATTCCTCCAGCTCCACGTATTTCCCTCAAGACTGCTTTGGCTATTCGGGGTCTTTTGTGTCTCTATACAAATTTTAAGAATTTTTGTTCTAGTTCTGTAAAAAATGCTATTGGTAATTTGATAGGGATTTCATTGAATCTATAGATTGCTTTTGGTACTATAGTCATTTTCACAATATTGATTCTCCCAATCCAAGAACATGGTATATGTCTCCATCTGTTGGTATCATCTTTAATTTCTTTCATCAGTGTCTTATAGTTTTCTACATACAGGTCTTTTGTCTCCCTCGGTAGGTTTATTCCTAGGTATTTTATTCTTTTTGTTGCAGTGGTAAATGGGAGTGTTTCCTAAATTTCTCTTTCATATTTTTCACCATTACTGTATAGGAATGCAAGAGATTTTTGAGCATTAATTTTGTATCCTGCAACTTTACCAAATTCATTGATTAGCTCTAGCATTTTTCTGGTGTCATCTTTAGGATTCTCTATGTATAGTATCATGTCGTCTGCAGACAGTGACAGTTTTACTTCTTCTTTTCCAACTTGTATTCCTT